CAACACGATTCAATATTCACTAGCGAATGCGTTTCTGCTGTCGCGGCGTGAAAAATGGAAGCGTGATCAATGGAATGGGCCCTTTTCTCCCGATCGGTACGGCCAAATGACAAATATTTGATCGCTGTGATATTTACAGGGCCGAGAAGAAGGGGCGACGGTGTTGCTGAGGTGTGTGGGAAAAGACCTCAGGTAGGGAATCGGTACATCTGAACCGCACACACACATACACGCGAACCTTTCACTCCCCATCAGGAAACCGCAGAATCACTTCCAGTCGATGGCAAATCCAAGGCTTTTCCACATATAAGCGTTTGTCCTCAAACAATTTGCCAAATGCTTCCTTTAAGGATGTCCATGTGTTTTAGTTGGTTAGCGGCTGAGCACGGGAGGGGGGGGGGGGTTGGGGGGGCAAGGCTCTCTCATTGGAGCTCAAAGAAGCAGACAGTGCTTTGAAAGCGGGGAGAATCGACGTTTCAAGTGAAACTTTCCAGCTCGCTTTCGCGTTGATTTTTCTTGGCCCGGCGCGCCGCGGGTCTGCTTCGAATTGATATGGGAGTCGCTAGCGTCGTTAGCGTGCGATTGTGCTAAACGAATCATAACACGTGAAATCTGGACGCGGTGTGCGGCGAAAGCAAAACGATGGGGGAGCGTTGCAGCAAGTTTGCGAGGGTTTGGGGCGAAAGCTTTGGGAACAGGGGAGAAGAAAGGAAAGACGGGAGCTCTTTCGACTTTTAAAAAGCACTTGATTGGTTCCAAAGTTGAAATTAGCGGAGAAGAGAAGATGCAATGAAAGGCTGGCGATAATAGAAAAGGACTTTGACTTTGAAGCAGCAATAAAGTGTCAAAGGTCTCCCTCTTTTTTTTTTTTTATCCCTTCCCGTTAATTTCCTTTCATTTTGCTTCTCCTTTTTCATTTCCTTTTCTCTCCTTTTACTTCCCCCCACCTCCGAAAGAAAGGATGGCGACGGAAGTAAAAGAACGGTTAACAAATCACAATGAAAGGGCAAGATGGGGGGAGGATAATGAGCAGAGGCAATCAAAAGAAGCGACAAGTAATCATCCGTCATGTCCCATCCGGGTTGGAGGGTGAGCTGGAGCTGAACCCGGCTGAACCCAGGTGACTTTGGCCAGCACCAACAGTGACTAAGAAGGGATGGTAGACTTCCTCACTTCACAACTACCGGCACCATAATATGGAATGAAAGCTCAATTGCGGGAGGTGAACACACAAAACGGCATCAGTATCATACAAATCCCATCATTGTGCATTACAAAGCCAAGAGTCGAGGGGGGAGGGGAGGGACTAATGTCGCAAAAAGGTCTTGTTTGACAGCGGCCGCTGGGCCTAATCCCTGTCACCCCCCCCCCCTTCGCACCACACCCTCCCTGTGCACGTCCCTGAGCTGTCCGTGTTAATGCCTGACCTGTCATTACACGGGTCCAATTCGCGCAGCGTTGACGCGTGCTGTCAGCAGATTAGAAAGCGAGCTAACGCACCCCTTTCGTCACGACAGCGAGGGGACAAATAATGAGCTGAATAATAATTTAAAAAAAAAAAAGGAGGACAGCCGGTTTGACATCAGCAGAAAGCCGTAAAAAAGGAACGTTTAAAGGTCTCGTTACATTTAACCCGTTGGAGTGGTTCCTAGGGCGCTGTCACCAGAATAAAACCTTTATCCGTAATTGCGAGCGTTTCATCGTAAGTGCTTATAAAACAGGAGACGTATCCGTAAAAATGAGAAATTCACCGTTCCCACAATATTTGTGATAGATAGCGGGTTTGATGAACTGCGGACGATCCCCGACGCCAATTTTGCAACGAGCCAAAAGTTGAGCTCAAAGTTCCTCCGACCTCCGACCAATTGCAGCACTTGAACGGCAATCTGGCGCGGCGACGAGGGAGAATTTACGACGTCGACGACTTGACCATAAATCTGACTTTTGTGCTTCTCTAAATTTTCTTAGCTGTGCATCTGGCACAAAATCTAAAAGGACAATTTATAACATCAGAGGAGAGTTATGGACCCGCGGGCGCATATGCAGTATGAGGGCATATTAGCTGAACTTATGAGGACTAAAATAAGAAAGTCGCTCTTGTAAAGTTGCGTTCGGTCCAATTGCAGAATGAGTCATTTGAATTTCAGATCGTAACCTCGAACTATAATTGCCTTGGCTGCATTTCGGTCAAAGGGTGTTATTATATTCAAATAATGTACGTACATTCTACCAGTCATACAACACACACTTAACGTTGGTCATAAAGTACAACTTAAAACTCCAGTTGATGCCGACACTATTCATGGTTCGCTAATCGTGAATTTGCATATTTGCAAATTTTTTTTTAATACGTAAGTCGTTTTTTTCTTGGGATTTTTTTCCCCAACAGACCCCCCCCCCCGCCGCCTGTTTTTCATATAAAAAAACAATATTGAATGTTTATAAGTGTGTTCTGAAGGATATTGTGGGTCTGTTAAAAAAAAAAAAAAAAAACACAATCCCTTTTCCTAATGAATCAAGGGGCCGCTTGAGTGTGGTCCGGGGGCTTGCATGCTTCCGCCAACCACTAGTTGCCCATCCCTGAACTTTCCCCATCGGGTTTCTACGTCCATGATCAGATGCAATCATCCAATAAATTGTCAAATAGCATAGGTAGCATCTTCAGAAAATAAGGAAGCGGAAGATAATTCCCTTCACTTTGTATTTATGAAGCAACTTCCTGCATTATTAATTATGTATTATTATTATGTGCTACCCACCCACTCAATTAATAGCGGCAAGAATCCATTTACTAGTCCGCAAATGAACTACTCACATTCTTCACCGCTCTCATCAGAAACGCATTAGAGGAGCACCTCCTCCTTTTTAGCGCCCCGTTATTCTTAAACGCACTACGCAAAGCAAGCCACTCCTTGTGCACACACATGCGCTATCATCTACTGTTTTATCTGAGCCTCTCACCCTGACCTGATCATTACACGGTTGTATTGATCCATCCATGCATCTTATTCCACTTGTTCTTTATTACATCCACGTTTCCCCTTTCTATCTTCATCTACAGTAATATCCGAGCCCCCATTCTCCTGTTCGCCTCTTTTTTAAAAAAAAATCGAATTCGATTCCGTTATTTTTGCACGTGTCCCTACCGACCCCAAAATGTCGTTGATGCTATTCTGCATTTCGCACCATTTGAGCGAAGAGCATCAGCACATCAGCACCGCGCACAGCAACACCAACCCCCCCTCCTCTGTGATCACACTAGCTTTGGTGATGAAGGCCACCCCCCACCCCCGCTCCCCCGCGGACCAACACAGACACTTTGGGAAGCGGCGTGTCAGCTCAATAAACAGCAATTTATTGGCAGGGGAATGAATACACTGCCGTCCTCGGGAGCTCTTACCCGTGTCGTATTGCTGAGAGTGTCCAATTATGATTATGAATCAGCAGAGACTTGTTTGGAAATCATCAGTGCTCCATACGGACTTATTTGCTCGATGAAGGCTCTTGAGTGCATTCATAGAAAGCGATGGCTGAATGAGATGCCCCTGAATCAACCTCGCGGACTGATGACAGAAAATTATTTTTCATGCCAGAAAAACACATTGTTTTACTGGATGTGTGCTTTATGGAGCCGTCATGCCAACCCCTCGGCCATACTGTATTTCACCGCGCTCAAATAGTAATTCAATCCTTATGAAAATCCTCACTCATTTCTCACAGAAGACAAAAGAAAGCTCATTGGATCACACTTTTCCTTTCTGGTGGATATCCAGCTCCTGCTTGGATCATACGTTATATGAAATATGTCATCCACTTTACAATATGAATGCCTTTTTTTTAGCATGGTTGCATGACCGCTGTTTTTTTTTTTGTAACCATTGAATTCTGATATGAAATTGTGATCAAATTAGGCTCTCTTCATCTTATTAGGTTATGTACAACATACCTTAAGGTTTATTATTAGTTCAATCATATATTGTTATGATATCAGGTCGTGAAAATGAAGCTTCATATTTGCTTCAGGAACCAGTTGTTGTATTTTTTGACCCCTCTAGATGGCACTGTTGGTTTAAATCAAGGTGTTTCAGAAACGGCAAGTCGGTGTGCTTCCAGCCTTATGTTGAACATTGAGCGCCATCAAGAGGGCTCAATAAACACAATTGGTTCATGAAGCATCTTGAAGCTTCATTTTTTTCCTGTCAATAACATCAGGAATAGGGGGACGGTCAGTCTTTCAAAGTAACACCTGCACAAGGGAGTAAATTATCAGTCTTCAAGGTAACTGTATGTACCTTGGAGTATTTTACAACAGTCCAGTTGTAGTAATTTTGCAGCAGTGCTTTTTATGCTTTTAAGACATTGCATCACTTTGCTTTTGTTTCCAATGGGCGTTTTCATGTAACACAAGTGACATGACATTGTTATTGGGCCATATTTGGGCGGCAGGTGACACAAAATTGTACTTTGCATGTACAGTTTGGTTGATTAGCATTCAGAGCTTTTTTTTTTTATTTTTATGTATGGATCAGCATCTTTTTTGTGTGTGTGTAAAATTTGTATGTGCAAAACAGTTTAATTAAAGTCCTCTGTCCCAAACAATATATTAAAGGTCTTTATTTTGGGTGGTCACCGATTCAAATGCAGGTCGACGAGAGAGGTACTGATAAATTATGACAACAGCAAAATTCAAACATGGCTACAATCTAAGCAAGAATATACATAAGTATGTAAATATATTGTAAGTTCACAATAATATCGATATATGCATATAAATGGTCCAAAAAAAGCACTCTTGATCATAAAAAACAACCCCTCAAAGTGGATAGCTTTTTCCTCTAATGCAATATTATCTCAGTTGTTGCCTCCAGTGCACTCTTTGATGTAACTAGCCGATTATTCTAGCCTCTTATTGTAGAATATAGTCATGAATCTGGATGTCGTTTTTGTTTTTTGTTTTTTTCCCCCCCTTCTGCCACTCGGTGCGCCATATGTGATCTTACCTGTACCAGTCCAGCCCTTTATCGTAGAAGCGGTCAAAGAAGTGAGGCTCGGCTCCGACTGCCCTCACGTCCGGATGGATGCGCAAGAACTCCAGGAGAGCCCTCGTTCCTCCTTTCTTCACCCCGATGATGATTGCCTGAGGAAACTTTTTGCTCCCAAAGTTATTCGCTACGGAGATGTTATTATTAATTGTAGTATACGCAACGTCCGATAGCCGGTCCTGTGCAAAGGACGCAGCGGCTTGCTTTGGTGATGTCTCTTGCGCGTCGTTTTGGACATTTTTGTCCTTGTGATGAGTCTGCCGATCATACACGGGTGTGGGCAAGTACTCGCAGAATCCGTTCAGGCAGTAAAAGAGGTAAACGAAGAGGATGATCATGGTCAAGAAGACCGATAGCTTGGACTGCACCTTGAGGTGTCCGAAGTTGAACGCAGCTCTCCATTTACTACATCCCATGAGTCTTCATAGTTATGTTTTGTTTTGTTTTTTTTGGTTTGTTTTTTTCTAAAAGGCACGTTTTGAAAGACGAAAAAAGAAGATCTCCCCTCGGAGCGGGAGCAAGCGGTGCCGAAGTTGCGCAGCGTGCGTCAAGACGCGCCCCATTCTGTCTGCTTCTTCCCTCTCAGGAACGATCACCTCAAGACGACCCGAGCGATCCGCAGGAAGGGTTTGGAGGTCTGTCCGAATCCCCCCCACCACCCCCCACCCCTTGTCTCTGTTGGGGAAACACTCATCAGCGCATCCCGAGTGACTGCCATTTCCACGCCCTCACCCAAAAAGACGCACGCCCCTCCGTCGTCAGTCACCGAAATAATTAGCAGACGCCTCCTCGCTTTCAGTTCGCTGTTTTGCAAGCAATTTAACAGAAATGTCGTTAGCTGGGTGACGGGTAACACAAGAATGTAAAGCCCAGGGGCATTTTTTCGGTGAATCACATCCAACCAGAGGCGCATCGCACACTTGCAAAGTTGCATTGTCTGACTTTTTAGTCCGATTTATGTGACTTTTTAGTGGCCACCTGCCTTGACAAATGTAACCTTTGCACTCCTGCCATTCTGGGACAGACAGGTGCTCCCAGTTGAAGCTCCTTTCTCCGTCTAAATCTGTGCGAGCGTGCAACTTAAAGGGATCCAGACCGCCATCAGCTTTCTCTTTCGTGCAAACAGCCAAAGCCGACATTGGAATCACAAAAGTCTCCAAAAGTGGTACGATTTGATGTTTTAAATTGACCAATTATCCAGGACATGAAGTAAAACAAAACAAAAAAAAAAGTGAAAATATCTCAGGATGCAAAATGTTTCATATATAAAATAATTTATTTTAATTTTTTACTTATTGTTTCATGAAATAACGTGTTGTGTTTGTGCACAATGCTTTTTAAATAATGTTTGTGTTTAAAAATATACCTAAAATAAATTGGCATCTTAATTAAAGGCTAAGTCAAGTTACTTCATTTTTTTAAGCACTAAATTCGACGTTATAAGCCACGTTAATGCCGGAAAAAAAAATTAAATGATTCATCTTGGTCTCATTTTTTTAATATCACAAAAAACGTGAACATGGGCGTGTCGACTTTTTATCTTATTCATCTCATTTAATTTCACCAATTTCTATAGAGCGCCACTAGGTGACAAGATTTCTCTGGACCTATTCCTATTCTCCATTCCATCTGCCAGCTATCTACCGATGCTAAGTAGCTTTCCTTTATTTTTGTTTTATTTTTGTGCTTTACATCTCCTTCCACATGACTGAACCTTGAGTGTATGGTTGATTTCAATGATTATAATTTGAACATAAATTACATTTACATTATTTGCCATGGAGAAATATTAATTTGAAAATTCGAACTTTGAAGTCAACCATCAAAGGTTGGATCAGGGTCGATTACGTCGAACCGAGAATGATCCGATTGCGACTGTTCCGACATTGATGCTGTTAATTGGCACCGTAGCAAAACAAACTATTTGTGTTTCGGGATGGATCACAAATTATTGGCAACTTCAAGCATACGTGAGTTGCAGCATGACAGTACATCCATATAGTTGACACACCGGCGGGGGCACGGGCAGCCCCAATCGACCCGGGCCTCCTCCAACCTGGCAGTATGTCAATTTTCTGGAGTCCCTAAACGGAGGCGACATCATTTATCCTTCTGTAGTTGCCACACGCTCTGTCATATTGATCAAATGCAATGTTGCCGAAACAATCGGCGCTATGTTACTTTGTTGGTGTATGATAAACGTCCTATATTTTAAATTTTCAAAGTTGTTTGTTTTTTTCAGGCCTTAACCCACGTGACAAAATTCAGTTAAGGTATTTATTTAATCTGAGTTTGGCAGCTAGCATTAGCGAACGACTGCTAATGCGCGACTTCTGTCTCCACTTAGCGGAGAGAAGAACTTGTGTTTGGTGTTTTGCAAGCAGTCCAATGAAAAGCCCGTCGGCTTCAGTATCGCCTCATTTTGTGAGCTTTTTTTGTCCTTTTTAAAAGCAAACAAACCCCCCAAAAAACTCATTCACTTTGGCGACGCACACATTGCCACGTTAAAAAAAAAAAGAAAGAAAAAGGGAAAAAAAATGCTGATATGACTCCAATTGTGGCTTGTTAGAACACATCTGACATGCACCTGAATGGAACATACTTTTTGTGTAACTCTTGTAAGCGGTGCAATAGCTTGTCAATGGTGTCGTACCTTCAAAAGTTGTTTTTAGCACAGCTTGTCCTTGTTGGAATCATAAAAAAAAAAAAAAAAAAAAAAAAAAACGTCAGCAATGTGTCAAAATATGATTTGTGCACGTATTAGTCACATGTACAGTAAAAATGTAATGCTGAGTGGCACGAAACGGGAACTCCCACCCCCCCGAGACAAACACACACACCCTCAACCACACACGCACAAACTGTAAACACACCTGCAACCATGAGCAACATCCTCTGTGCTGAATGCCCGTCCACCTGCGTCAGGTATGCGGCTGTGGGAAAGCAGACAGCTGTACAAAGCGCAGCATGTGCATTTGCGCTCTGTAATCCTCGCAAAATTCCCTTTTGATGGCCAGCGGCGGCTGCTTCAAAGACGCCGCCCGTCATTCTCGGGCCGTACACAATTAAACAAAAAAAAAAAAAAAATAGATGATGTTTTGTGAAGTGCAAAGTGGATCGACCTACTTTCATGTCTTATCTACATTTCCACTGAGTGGGACAGTTCGGTTCCACCATCATGTGGCATCTTGCTGTCGAGAAGCGATGTTGAAGTGAGTTAAGGAGCTTCATTTAGTGCAAAAAGACAATAGTGCTTTGCCGCCATCTTGTGGCATCTTGTTGGCAAGGCACTATGGGGAATTGAGCTGAGTAGTTTCATTTAGACAAAAGCAGTGCTTTTGCATCTATCTTCTGACATCTTGTCAAGAGAAATATTTTCTGTTGAAATGGCATATTGGTGTCACTGAACTATGTTGAAGTGATTTGGGCAGAAAACAGGTAGATTTTGCTGCTTCATTCACTTTGCAAAGTCGCGATATTAATCAGAATACCGATCTTAGACGAATAGGATTGCGTCAAACAAATTATTGTCAAGAAGAGTTTTGACTTGACTTCCCATTTAATAGCAGGGTCCCAAAACCGGTTGGGCCGCTTTGTTATTTCGGCAACATTTTAACGATGGGAAAACACAATTGAAGTGAACTGTGCCGTTTGTTTCAAGCGGGGTTAAAAAGTGAGCATGGCAAAGTCACCGAGGATACAATAAAGCAGATGTACTCGTGAAGTGCTGCTCTTCAAATGGCCTGTTAGCTCACCTGCATGGAATGCACACACACACACACACACACACACACACACACACACACACACACACACACACACACACACACTTGTCCCGGACGCTTGTCACCACGCTCCCCCTCCTCATTATTATTAAAGGTCAGCAAGGATTAGCGGATGAATGCTAGCATGTTTTTTATAAATTTAATTAAAGTCCCCCTGGTCGCGGTTGATGGGTACAAACCCAAGCCATTAGCTAAGCGGTTGGGGGAAAAAAAATGGTGATATTTCAGGGATGTGAAAATTGTGATTGTTTTTCAAATGAAACTACTTTTTTTATCAGTGGATAGTTCCAAACGGAGACGAAAAAGAATCAGAATCCATTTAGCATGACTGGGATTGATTTTATTATTAGTTGTATTAAGGTCGTGTTCCGTTTTCATCACCGTTTCACCAACATTTTGAAAATAGCGGCGGCGTGTGTCGAGGTCATTTGGCCTTTTTTGTTTGTTTCTTTTGTTTGTATTCTACTTTGTAACAATAAATTACTTCTGCTGTCGGCATAATTGGCCTTGAGGAGAGAAAATAACAATAACACTTTTCTGTGGTATATAACCGCCGCGACCGCATTTCACACCCGGGATGCCATCAGGAAAACATTTCTCCTCGGATGGTAATTTCAGAACAATATCTATGCACAAGAGGCGGAGGGGGGTTTGTGGGGGGGATGTATATAGATGCCGTATGCTGTGTGAAGGCCAGCTGCAAGGCCACACACTCTCCGCCGTAACTGCAGGGCAGAGTTCTGCGGCGAGCCGGGTAAATATAGGGCACGTCGACACCGTGCATTACTGCATGGGTGTGGCCTAAGAGCTTGCGACTTCGGAACATCTTTCGACTGAAAGAAAGCGTGCCAAGCATGCCTGCACAGGACTGTCAAACTATTCTGTGGCAAATGTGTTTACCAAAGTCATAACAGAGGGGGTGGGAGGGGAAGGTGAAAGCGGCATCCGCGCTTATCCATCGCTGGTGCATTTTTGGCATTTTTTAGTTTAATGACGGGGTCGAGCGAAATCTCCAGTTTCATTAAAAGGAGCTCCGTCCACAAAAACACATTTGCAAGCTGGAAAGTGCGTGCCAGAGCAACAGGTGGCGTGCAACCCCGTTTACCGCGAGTCCATTTTAGTGAATCGGGAGCATTTGCCCAAATGGAAACTTAAAACAGTGGCGATCTGAGATAAAAGGGGGGGGAAATCGTACGTTTTATCCTAATTTATTTATATATCTTGCTCGGTTGTTTTGGAGGAAAAAATAAAAGCAGCAGTGGAACGAATCCATTTCAGATGGGGCCCCCGCCGCAGCAGAGCAGGCAACACAGGGAGTTGCTTAGGGAGCAGAGATGAAAGGGGGGTGGGGGCGGGGGGGGGGGTGCAGAGCCTGCTTGACATTAGCCCACATCAATGACAAAACAATCAAGAGCGTGTCAGGAATCCCATCAGTGGGCGCCTTACTAGCTCGTGGCTAGCAGGACACCCTGAGATATGGTTGATATTCTTCCATAACAGCGACATTCTGTTTTTTTTTTTTAACTTGTAAAATACTGCACATTTCAGATTTAGTGACATAGTTTTCAGTTATTTCTCGCTGCTGAGCTGTGTTGAAGGAATGCCGACCAATCAGGATCCAGAGGAAGATCACGGAGCAGCGGTACAGGGAGCAAAAGCGACCTCATGGCAGGTGGGCCCGGTAGACGCAACAAAACACATTTTATCTCCTCACATCTGCTGTCTTTTTGCGATAGGCTTTCAGGGGTGGCTTCTTTGTTGCTCCTTCATGTCCACAAAACACGCATAGAAAGATATGACGAGGGTGGAAAAGCTTCCCGAGAAGAACAAGCCCCAGTCACCGCGCTTATTGTCACAGTTATACCCGCGGATCGTTTTGCAACGCTCAAGAAAATCTCCCGGTGACAAAGTTATATGACTCCTCTATGCTGGATCTATATGTGTGACTATGTGCGTGGGTTCCAAAATGTTGACTTTCGTTCTCTGGCCTTGCATTTTCCCCTGCGCCAAATCCAAACCTTTCACCAAGACTCTTGGACGACGCTACTATGCGATTTACCGAGCCCAGTATAACCCTTCGATTCCATGATCTACGGTCGTGATGTCATTCATGCAATAAAAACTGCTCTATAATCATTCTCGGCCATTCTCGCTGCTACGAAATCCTGCCGAGGAGCACGATATATCACAAGCGAAGCAAAGCAGTAAATATAAAGAGCGGGTAGACGGAGCCCAAGGCCAAAATAAAGACTGATGCTCGTGGTATAATTTTCGTTCGACGCAAAGTAGGCAAGGCGACGCCGCTCTCCATTACTGGACTATTTAAGATGCAGAGATGAATGAGCCCTTAAAAAAAAAAAAAAAACATCAGTGAGTCTCTGAAGGAACGACAGGTAGTCTAAACAAACACGGCGAACCTCGTCTAACCTCACGAAACACACACGCAGGCTGTCACGGCATATCACGGTCGCGCGTCTGTCGCAGTCGAAAAGCTCCTGATTAAATAGTTTTGCGGAGTGTGTCGCGGTGCCTCAATGAGCTCAGCGGCTTTGAAGCGAGTCGCTGAGGTCGGCTCTTATTGTGTGTCGGGACTGAAGATAACGCGCTTAGACAGCGCTCCGGGATCGTGTTTACGAGCAGTCACCACGAGCGCTGTCGGGAGGCATCCATGTTGACTCAAGACACACACAGGACAGGATTGGGCAGATGTTGCTGCAGCCGATGATGGGCTTCGATCTAAAGCTGCTCGACAAGCTGCTTTAAAACGTGTGGTGCAAACTATATGTCAACTCATATTTCTAGAAGTCATGCCAGCCCACCCAGATGACAAAAAATACCCCTAAAACTTCATTCACATGCTCCGTTTGTAATATTAACCCTTTCAGGGAAAGCGGTTACTACAGTGGACAAGCTAACCCATGTTAGGAAAAAAAAGGGGGGTTAGAAATGCCGATAGATGCCACTAGACGGTGGTAGGAGCACTACTTTTATCTAAACGAAGCTCCTCAGTTGACTTCAACATAGGATGAGCACACCGGCGCGTCAAAGCAAAACGACTGATTTCCTGGTCAATTTCCACCGCGGGTCCTTGAGTCTGTTTCGTGTATCCTGCACACACTTGCAAAAATTTGGGTTTTTTTTTTCAAGGCATGTTGAGGCCCTCCCAAATGGGGATTTAAAAAAAAAAACTTATTTCAAGTAATGTTTTATTTTTTCATGTTATAAAACCCTTATTCGGTTAAATAGGTGAACCAAAATAGGCAGCATGGTGACGGCGTGGTGAGCACATACCCCGCTGTAGAAAATGGATTAATGGGAAGGAAACAAAATATTCTAAATTAATGCTGTGCTTCTGCACCGCAGCACTTTTAACTACAGCATTGGAAATTTCCTCTCTTCTCCTCATCTGCATAACACCATTTGGAAGTTAGAACATCAGAAAACGATCGTTCCCAAAATGTCACTTTGAATCCTTCCCACCTCTCACGCAGTCGGATGCTTTGGCACCATTTCTTGATAAGTCACCTTTTGAAGTGACAAGATAGCTGACTTTGAAGTTTTATGCAAGTAACTTTTGAAATATTTTCCGGAGAGCACATATTTTTTTAATTTTTTGGGATGAACAACACCATTTATTAAGACTTAATTTGGGCCGTAGTTTTGGTCAAGGCTAAACTTTCTACATTTGAATGCAGTTTAGCTCACTTTGGATTTTAACTTCAACCTCACCTCTAACCTCAATAAAATGAATTCAACAGAACAGCTCTCAGAAAGGATCAATTGAGTATTATGCAAAATAAATAAGACAATTGAAAATGAACAATCACTACTCGTGTGTATGGTCCAAACGGAATGCAGTCTGACGTGCATTTTTATCGGCATCAGAGTGAAATGGCGTCTCAGGGGATTCGCCGAGTGCAAGTTACACCCCTTACGTCTGTGGTCAGCCTATTTATAGTCCACCATTGTGAAGCGTAGACGCCAAAAAGCAATACGTCAGTAGCTCCCTGTTGGCTTTCGAAGTCAAATCCCGAGAAGGGGTGAAAAGGCGTCGATACTTTGCTGTCCGTGCGGTCCTTCTCGCAGACATATTGAGCGGCAGCTCAATGCTCTGCAACTGCGCGGGTGTATTGGATGTGCGGTGACCCACTGAGGGGAAGCTTCCCAGGGTCCGGTGTGTAGCATGCTGGGGTGCTGCGGCCTTCCAGCCCCCCCGCCCCACCACATGCCAAGACTTGCAAGACGGATGGCTGAGCTTTGCTCCGTGTCCAGAGGATTTAGCCGTAATTTAGCCCAAATGCTAAGTGACGCTCGTCATGTTGGCTACGTAGCCGCCTGCGGGTTGTGAACGGTTAGGTTTGAACTTTTTGCACCGCTAATTTGTCAACCCACGGGGAAGGATGAATGATGTCACTTAAGCACTTTTCAGACAACTCCTTCATTGTTCTTCAAGCGAGGTCTAGGATTAGAAATCCGAGCAGACGTTTGATTGTTTTGCTGCCAGTTGTGCTTTCAAATGAAAACATGTCAAATGCATTAGCGAAACGACTCTATCGGCCTGTTTACCATTTACGTAATGAGGATAAGCGGTATGGAAAATGGACGGATGGATCGTGTGGATTTGAGCGTATCAATCTGACCACATTTCAGGTTGATCTTCTTCACCCAGTTTGAAAATTTAATGGACCCCGCGTCTTCGCGTTTCAGCCATTGCAAATCCCACCCGCAGATTTTTGGGGACATTCCCGCTTGCGGATTAGGTAAAAACTGACGCTGCCTTCCAAGCATATGCAAGGCATCAAATGTAAATACTACGCAGAAAGATGACTTTAGTTTGCGCATTATAGATGTATTTATTTATTTGCCAGTCAGTAAGCAAAATACTGAAAATAGAAATTTACTATAGATTGATTGCCCCCCCCCAAAATTGTTTTAAAAATTATTTGTTAAGAATACCCAATGCAATTTATGAACTGTCTGTCTGTCTATCTCTCCGTCTATCTATCCACACAAACACACGCGCACACATGTTCACAAAGTTGCCAGCACCCGTGTTATTTCACCGCTAAATTACATAAATCTTCGCCGTCTGGAAACAAGTCCGGGCCGAGTCACTATGGTGCATTCTGGGAAGTTTCACTGTTACGAAAGGTGGATGAAATCAAACCACAGATGGACTAATAAGATAATACATCGTCGAATGATTTTCTTTCATAGGGTGGAATGAACTCACCCGTTACAACCAAACCAGATTTAGTCTCGAACTACGTGGATGTTTTTTTGGGGGTTTTTTTGTCTGTTAAGACGGGAAACCACAAAAATTTTGAACTCACACGTTACAACCAAACCAGATTTAGTCTCGAACTATGTGGATGTTTTTTTTGTTTTTTTTTGTCTGTTAAGACGGGAAACCACAAAAATTTCATTCCATTTCAACAATCGCTGCACTGTCTCAAAACAAAATGGTTGTGCGTGCGTGCGTGTGTACGTTGGCACCGCAATCTGGCCTGGAGCGCTCTAATAAGAATGATGTCACTCACAACACCTGCTTTTGGCTTGGAGGCACTGACTAATGAGATAATTGCGAGTAATCATCTCATGTGATCTGGAGCTTACAAAATGCTTACAAAATGCATATGACAAATGTATTTTTTATTTTTATTTTTTGCTCTGAATTTGGTAGGGACAAATTTCTAGAAAAGTGGTTAGGTTTTTCATTTCATGTGGAGGTGGGTTACAATCCAAGCACAAAATATTTCATTTTGATGCAGATCCAGATAAAAGTTGGAGCCACCATGTAAATTAATATTGGAAGGCTGAATTCACGGAAGTTGGCATTATAATGCAATAAACTTCAGCTCATGTGTCAAACTCAAGGCCCGGGGGCCAGATCCGGCCCGCCAGGTCATTTTATGTGGCCCGCGAAAGCAAATGAAACCGTCTTTTGAAAACACCGGTGAGGCCTTCCTACACAACGTTCCCGTTGGGCTCTCAACGACATGGTCAATGGGTTGAGAATGTATTTCCAGTTCCACTGCCACAAACAGACCATGTCAAACTACAGTAAACCCACGAGTGGACTCCACGAGCCACACCGACGCTGTAATTCTTTGCAATACTTTGCCCTGCTGACTCTAATGTACACACTCATTGAAGTTCTTGTTTGCGCGAGCGCAGCGCCCGCTTTGAGTAACGGTGCATTTCAAGACGAACGGCATCGCTTAAAACAAGGCGGTTAGTGACTGCGTGAGAAAGCGTGACACCAGTGAATACATCAACAAAACTTCAAAGCGGCGGCTCTTCCGTGCCATATCCAAGAATACAGCCATGTGTGTTGTCTGCCAAACACTCTTCTCTGACTGTATGTGCGTTGCCTGTATAATGACAGCCTTTTACTCTCTAACCAGGCGACCCGGCTACTCCTCAAAAACCTCAGTGTCATTGCCAAGCCACCGCCGCAAGGAATGCGGCCTGCAGCTGAGCCAGAAAGCGCCACTCATGCAACCGACGTTCGCATTCGATCACAAAAACATGGACGGCAGATGAAGTGTGTAAGTAGTGCGTTGCATACAAGCACACACAGCGTGAATCACATTCACTTGGGCGCACAAGCTGTACTGTTCACCTAAAGCCACTGAAGGTGATGTAAGGAGTGGGATGGCTCCCTCTAGAGGACAATTGCCAAACAGCAAATTCATTTGCAATTGTGGTTTATTCAGTGTACTGACTGTACTTCTTATGACATCATATCAGCATGTCTTTAGGTCTTTAGTAGTAGTAGAATTAAGCGTCTTTACCACTGAATAAATGTATTACAAAAGTACATGAACATACAAAATGCCCAAATTCAAACCTTTTAGTTCTCTCCTATGCAACATAAACTTTTCACGTCCCTCAAAGTTGGGAGACTTATTTAAATATGAGTTATTTAAGTACGAAAGCAGTAGCTTTAAAAAAAAAAAAAAAGATGTGCACGTGTTTCATCCATGCCGCATGTCACTGGCTGGTCTGAGATACTTCAGCAGACAGGATGTCCTTCTCGGGACTTTATCCTGGCCGCATCACATGCTCATACAGGACGGGTGCAACAGCCAGAAAACTCGCTCTTTAGTGCTTGTCCTTGCCTGGGAAGAAGAAAAAAAGAGACATCCATCTGTGTCAACTCCGATCAAGAGAATACAGAGACATCCTCAAAACTGCAACTTCCAAGATAGAAAAAAAACCCACTTAGCGACATTCGCAATTTTTTTTAACACCGTCCACATCCATTTTGGACTTATTAGGGGCTGCAGGTGAGCTGCAGTCTATCCCAGCAGATTTTGGACAAAAGGTGGTGTACCACCTGGATTGGTTGACAGTCCACTCAATGATTACCTAGAGCAGTTATCCTTAGATGTCAATAGCTGAGTGTCATGATTTGATTAGACATGGGTTTGAATGGCTGCACTGTGCTTTTCTCACCTTTGTTCGGGACAAACTTGAGAGAGTGGCTGAATATTCAAAATCGGGACAGCCCCTCCTGCGGGCCGTCGTTTACAAACTCGTGACCCAGCCCGTTGCCGCACTTGCCACACAGAACCTACAAATAGCACACACATGAATGATAAAATTTCACTCCATACTCAGGCCGTTGAAGCCGTGCTGACCTTGAAAGCTGTGAGGCTCTCCATCAGTTTGGTCACGCTGTCCTCTCTGATGGTCTCGGTGAAAGCGGGCCATGGGGATGAGTGGGCGAACTTGGACCGACTTGAGAACAGCGGATGGTTACAGTTAGAGCACACGTACATACCTGTGGAAAACGTGACTTTGAAAAAAAACATTGCAGGAAAGGTTTGTTGTCCATATACCTTTCACAATTACATTCACACCTAATTACTTCAATGAACCAAACATGCTAACATGCGTTTTTTTTTAATCTTTTTTTTTTTTTTTTTTTTTAATGTGGAAACTGCACACAGGAAAGCCGCAACCAAGACTCAACCCCAGAACCTTAAAACTTTGAGGCAAATATGCAAACGAGGTCATCATGCTGCCCAGGTCACACCCAATAGATGTTGTGTAAAATTAATATTATTGTCACCCAGTTATTCAGTACAACGAGTATGAGTGATTAAACAAACGACAGTATTCGGTCGGAGAAAATACAAGTCAAAAATATTATCTGCACCTGTAATAATCTACACTGAAGGCAGGTTACGTCACATCTCAGTTCATCATGTAACACTGCGGGTTTACCTGGTTTAAAATGATCCTTGTAGGTCTCTCCGCCAAAAAAACGACAGAAAGACATGCTGCTGTTGTGCACCAGATCAAATTGATTCCAAATAATAGAAAGGACGTGTCTGTAGAATAGATATAAACTATCGCATCCCGTTTCTGCTCCTCTCGTGGGATTTAACGGGAACTCCTCCCCCCTGCATTTAGCTTTCTCGACGCTAGATGGCACTGTTTCACAACGTGAACGCGTCCTCTCCGTTAAAAATTGAAAGGGAAATAACTATAAAATTGCAAATAATAACAATCGGTTTTATTGTCCTTTTTCAATAGTGTAGAATAGCTCAAATTGTTATTTTGCTACGCTCCATAATATTAGCACTCACTATTATGCAGTGTAGCACTGTGAACTATAGTTATAACATTTTGAGGGCATGGCTTGAATGATGATTAAGGCGTTCTTCTTTATTGCTGAAGCATGTGAAGTGTCAGTCAAAATGAAGATGATACGTAAGGTAAATCGCTCCAAGAGGAGACGAAAGGCCAGCGCAATTTACTTATCAACTGGTAAATTGATTCAAAAATATGATATATTTGTTGAAAACTTAGACAAGTGTAGTTTAAAATGAAAGTTTGTCATGACACCAAACACAACATGTTTTATCTTTATTTCAGTTTTGGTCATCTCTTTTTTTGCTTCGCGGGTATCATGGCACCCTGCGGTATTTAGGTTTTGTTTTGGGGGTTTTTTTGCAGCATGGTCGATAACATCTGTGGTTTCTTTTGACGAATTTCCCAATCCTGCTCACATCGGTGCTTCTTCATCAAGTAGGTTGATGATAAACAATCCCAGTTCAGTTCAAGCCCTTCTCGTAAATCAGAAAACTGTTCGACGGCTCCTGCCGTTAAGGATTTTCAGTTCTCACTCGTACTTGCAGGAAAGCCGCAACCAAGACTCAACCCCAGAACCTTAAAACTTTGAGGCAAATATGCAAACGAGGTCATCATGCTGCCCAGGTCACACCCAATAGATGTTGTGTAAAATTAATATTATTGTCACCCAGTTATTCAGTACAACGAGTATGAGTGATTAAACAAACGACAGTATTCGGTCGGAGAAAATACAAGTCAAAAATATTATCTGCACCTGCAATAATCTACACTGAAGGCAGGTTACGTCACATCTCAGTTCATCATGTAACACTGCGGGTTTACCTGGTTTAAAATGATCCTTGTAGGTCTCTCCGCCAAAAAAACGACAGAAAGACATGCTGCTGTTGTGCACCAGATCAAATTGATTCCAAATAATAGAAAGGACGTGTCTGTAGAATAGATATAAACTATCGCATCCCGTTTCTGCTCCTCTCGTGGGATTTAACGGGAACTCCTCCCCCCTGCATTTAGCTTTCTCGACGCTAGATGGCACTGTTTCACAACGTGAACGCGTCCTCTCCGTTAAAAATTGAAAGGGAAATAACTATAAAATTGCAAATAATAACAATCGGTTTTATTGTCCTTTTTCAATAGTGTAGAATAGCTCAAATTGTTATTTTGCTACGCTCCATAATATTAGCACTCACTATTATGCAGTGTAGCACTGTGAACTATAGTTATAACATTTTGAGGGCATGGCTTGAATGATGATTAAGGCGTTCTTCTTTATTGCTGAAGCATGTGAAGTGTCAGTCAAAATGAAGATGATACGTAAGGTAAATCGCTCCAAGAGGAGACGAAAGGCCAGCGCAATTTACTTATCAACTGGTAAATTGATTCAAAAATATGATATATTTGTTGAAAACTTAGACAAGTGTAGTTTAAAATGAAAGTTTGTCATGACACCAAACACAACATGTTTTATCTTTATTTCAGTTTTGGTCATCTCTTTTTTTGCTTCGCGGGTATCATGGCACCCTGCGGTATTTAGGTTTTGTTTTGGGGTTTTTTTTGCAGCATGGTCGATAACATCTGTGGTTTCTTTTGACGAATTTCCCAATCCTGCTCACATCGGTGCTTCTTCATCAAGTAGGTTGATGATAAACAATCCCAGTTCAGTTCAAGCCCTTCTCGTAAATCAGAAAACTGTTCGACGGCTCCTGCCGTTAAGGATTTTCAGTTCTCACTCGTACTTGCAGAAGTGCTTGAGTGCCTCTGGTAGCTCCAGCCAGTCAATGGCCATTCTGTGGACAATGTGCTTTTGGATGGACTTCCTGCACAGCGTCTGCAAGGACGAGACTGAAAAGTAGACAATTTAAGAAAGTACTGATTAGGATAAAACGACAAAAATCTGACATCCCACGCCGGGTTGATACTCACATCCATACTCCACCTGCACAATCCTGACACACTTAGTAGCAGCAAATACATCCACGACGGCATAAAGAGGCTCTTTAGTCGGTATGCCTTTGGCGGAAGCACCCATGTCCTCCCCATTGATGACGATATGCATGTCACCTCGACCGGGGCCTTTCGCTACGTACAAAACTCCAATCCGGCTGCGTCTGGCAGTTGGCGGCAAAGCGTTGGTCTTGTACAAGTCATCCAGAATGTGGCTGAAGCGCCCAGGCCGGCTGCGGCCGACCAGCTTGTCTCTGGGGATCAGAACATTCTCGATCTGCAAATGAGAGTCTGTGAAAAAAGTTTTTGGTTTGCAGGTGGCGTCGCCTTTATTTTCAGCCTCCCCTCGACCCAGTCTTTGACCCCCGGCTGGTTCCTCTTGAGGCTGGTGGCCACCTTCCCCCGCATCGACCTCCTCTGTAACCTTGTTGTGGTTGCGAGTGATAGCGAACACCCAGCTGTCGCCCAGATCCGTCAGATCCGGGATGGAGTATTCCGGAACCACCTGCAAGCCTCTGGGGTCCCTGGCGGTCAGGCCGATCCGGAGGTGGCCGCACCAGCCCAGCTCCTTGTCCTCAATCTCGATGAGGAAAATCTCCCCGGGTTTTAACGGATGTTTGCTGAAACACACTCCGTTAGCAAAGCTTTCCACCCGTGTGGCCTGGGTCGCTGAATAGTCCAGTTGCACGTTGGAGCCGTGGACCGGGTGGAATTCCATAAAGTCGTTTGGTAAAGCTTCCATCTCTTGTTACGCCTTCACTCTAATTCTCAGAACGGAAGCGACTTTCAAATTGAGCCAGGCAGCAGAGGCGCATTGTCCCCTTAATGAAAAACGCGAAAGTCAATAGACTTTTCGTGGCTTGTGGTCATTCTGGAGACAAAAGTTAAGCAACACCAGCACTCAGCTGAGCTTTCACTCACTTAGGAAGCTTCTGGTAGGTCTATTTTTGAACAGATGACAACAGATGGCAAGGTATGTGTGTCTCTGCGTGTGCGTGTTGGTGTAATGAGAGGGTGGCCAGCATGCACACGTCGGCTGCAGTCACTCACTCCCCTGCATACTTCATGCTTTTGAGTTACACACATTATTACGTCACCAACCTGAAGTAATCCCACGGCAATTATCACACGACCACATGCCATTGAGAGATGCTTGATTTGTTTTTCCAAGCTGTGCTCTAAATATAGTACTGGGTTAGATTCTTCAGTAAGAGAGCGATTCAAGTTGTGCGACAACTGACACAAGCAAATTTGTGGAGAAGTATTTGGAATATGTGCTCGTATAAGATGACAAATCTTAATTGGGGAACTAGTGGATTCTTCAGATGTGAGTGACTTGGGGCTGACTTCGTTTTCTTTTGGCGGCTTATTCCATTTCCATGCAGCATAACACCCAAAGGCTGCTTCACCATGTTTTCAATGAAACCTGGTCTCCACCAATTGACCCGATGGAAAAACAGTTTGACAACCACTGACACAAGGCAAAGAAGAAATCAGTTGCCAGCCATTCGCAGGGAATAGACAAGCAATTATTCACATGTAAATTCACACCAATTTAGAGTCAATTAACGTGAATGTTAAATAATATTTTGGGAGTGTGGGAGTGCTTGTTTGTCTTTAAGTGCCATGCGATGTGTGACTAGTCCCCCGAAGTTATCTAGGATAGGCAGTGGTATCGATTCATGAGGACCGATAGAGAATCCTTTACGTGTACATCAGATGGGTGAGTTGGTTTGAACGCGTCTGTTGGGGCTGCCCGACTCTAAATCTGGATTATCATGCCAAGCGGCCACGCTTTTCATAATCAGTTGGTGAGCTGCGATTCTCGGCAGCGCATGACACATCTGGATACGGGCACGTTGGCTTAAAGAGGAGGTGTGTGTGTGTCAGAGTGCATGAGAACGAGACCGAGAGAGATGGTGGAGGAGAGTGTGTTCACGCAGGCTCCTCCTTACCCCGCTGCTGTCCTTGCACACGCAAATGGAAAGATGGACTTCTCTGAAGACCATTGTGGCCGTCCCGTTGATCCCCACGCGGGTGAGTAAACTCCGTGCATGTTCCTGCGTGTGTTTGTTTTGCAGATCATCTCTCAGCACAGCAAACAAGTGCAATATAATCCAGAGTTGAGGCTGAATGGTCGACTCAGTAAGATTTAATCTTTTTTTGTTTGTTTGTTTTTGCATATTGTTGTCATTCGCGGCAACTTATGTCATGAGAGCTTTGAATCGAGGCACTGCACCAAATTATTCTGCACATGTAGTGTATGATGACTTCTCAAATTGGAGGGTTATTTATTTTGTGCGTTTATAGTTCATGGTTGTCATCACGGTTCAAGTTTTACATTTCAAATTGCAGGGAATTCTTGGCAAATTCATTTTTAACATCCCCCCAGGTTTGTTGTATTTTATCCAATGCAGATGCCTAGTTTTCAAAAGGGAAAAAAAAGCGCTTTAAGGCTATTTTCATTCAAAATGCCATTTGATGTATTTGTATTGTATTGGTAACTGATTATGAGTGCACAACAAATTAAATGAACCAACGTCTCAAACGCGATCCATCATCAAACCGTTTCGTGACCTCCTTTGCCCCGCGCAAAGTCTGTCCCAACGTAAGCATGAGATGAGCTAGCTTGGAAAACCACACTGCCAAATGTTGGCTTATCTATAAGCCATGCCAGTGTGATTTGTCAGATTTCACAGCTAAACCCTAAATTCATGTTAATCGGAGATTGTGACTGTCTGATGAGGTGAACCTCAACTTTACCTTACCGACTCAAATGGCAGTCGTGCTTATTGTGATTGAGACTATGGCGGTGTGTATTTATAATAAGAACAACAAAAATCTGTTCACAATCTGTTGACATCTATTAAGGTTTATGTTGCTGACTTATTAATGTCCCCTTAAATTGGTTTGAGCAGCTTTGGACTAGATGCTAACGATAACTAGCATCATGCTAATTTGTCAGTGACTTCGTAGCATCAAATTCATTCATATGCTAACTTTTTCCCGCTAATCGCTAAATTGATCGGTGCTATACTGAAACATCGGACAATTTGTCTTCTGCGGCCCGGACATCCCTGAATGTTTGTCAGTGACTTTGTAGCATCAAATTAATTCATATGCTAACTTTTTCCTGCTAATCGCTTGATTGGTGCTATATTGAAACATCAGACAATTTGTCTTCTGCGGCCCGGACATCCCTGAATAAAATGTCACCGGAATCCACGAAAGGTGAACTTCTAATCAGATAGTCTTGCCGTTCTTTGCGTGCCCATCACAAGAAATGTGAACACCGCAGCATCCGTCTGGTGCCCCCCAACACCTCCCACCCCGTGTGAAAATCTATAATGAAGGACTAATGTCTGCATGTGTCTCTCTGAGGTTTTATCTCTCCGCCGTGCATTTTGGGTGCGAGCAGATTAGTCACAATCCACCATCTGCTGTGGAATTGGTTGAGATCGTGCCACACAGACCTGTAATATTGTTACATAAATCTGATTGGTCCGAAGAAGGTTTTAACCCGTATGAAGAGCAAGGCTATGAAAATGAAAGTCCAAGCTCAGCCTATTTGGCAATACTGATTAGAGCCTCTTAGGTTGTATGAGGATGACTGATTTCGTTCTGTGTTCTTCGCAGCTTGCACTTTTCAACCCTTGGTTACATAACAAAGTAAAAAAGACATCAGAGGTAGTTTCTTAATGATGCACAACCTCTCAATTGTGTCCTTATTCTCACGGATAATGAAAGTCGGTCCATTTTCAGTTTCTGTCGGTGTCCCTGTCCAAATATTGTGTGTCTGGTGATGTCACCAATGCATGCACAAACTTCACATCCAATCAAACCCCCCAAAAGATATGATATCCAAGCCACACTTGCTCTTATTTATTCAGCATTTGGGCTTGAGAGCTTGTCTGGTCTATTTTTGCCTGTCTCCAAAACACACTCAGATGTGGAGCAACAGCTTTGGGAGAGGCGCTGACTTGGCACCGATTCACTCACTCGACTCAAGCGCACAAGGCGAATTCACATTTCAGAGCGCACGTCATGCTCACACACTAATACCTAATTGGCAGGATGCGAGCAGTTTTTCGTACAAATGAGGCAGAAGCACAGAATGCATGCCTCCTGTTATTCCTTGTCTGATTTTATTTGTTTTGCCTCAGGGGTTCAATCGCAATTCTTTTCTTTCAGTGACTCTTAGGTGCCTCGGCCGTGTGATGTAGTCACGAAATGGCAGAGAGCGGAAACAATTGGGCGCAAGGATGTGAAAAGGATGCAAGAGGAGACGGCGGACCTCACTCGGATGCCCGCAGCCCAGATGTTGTCCCAAACTCGCTTGGGACTAAGCGGCATCTCCCGCGGGGGATTGTTATCCAGCTGACAGGAACGGAGGGAGAATGGAGCAGCTTGGATGAGAGTGAGCTCATCTTCTCGCTGGATCACGATGAGTACTACGCCTCGGTGTCTCATTCGAGTCAGAAGCACATCACCGGTGACGATGACAAAGGATCGCAGTCCCAAGCGTTCCATGTCCCGCTTTCACCCTCGTCTCCTGGTTCTTTGGGTAATTGCTCCGCCGCGAGCCCCGCCTTCCTCTCCCCAGGCCCTTCCTCGCCCACTCATCGGCCCTTGGCCAGTCTGGTAAAGTCGCTTTCCACAGAGCTGGAGCTGAGAGAAAATTCCGCCCTCAGGCCAAAACCTCTTCTCAGCCTCGTGAAGTCAATTTCCACCGAGCTCTCTCGTTCGGAGCCGGAGGTGTCGCAGTCCAAATCGGACTCGCGCCTCAACCTCCACCTGTTGAAGCAGCTGACGCAGCCCAAGAACCGAAGCGCCGGGGACTCTCGGACAGCACCCCCATCTCCCAGCGCGCTCTCTCCAAGCGGAGAGGGTCATAAAGGCGGTTTCTTTAAAATGGAACTCGAGGATACCAAAAGGAAACTCTCAGAGGCGGTCCATGAGCCGTTCAGCAGTATGTTCAACAAGATCAGGAGAGAAGATAGCACAGGCAGCCCCAAACACACGTGTAAGACCACCCAGGTCATTTCTAGAGGTTCGGGCCGGGAAGCGAGCACTGACGCGGGGGTCTCGGAATCTCCAGTGAGAAGTGGCGGCAGGACAGATGGCGATTTTTTCCACTGGCCTTCGGTTAGATATGCCGGGAGAAGCCCCCGCAGCACCTGTCCAGTGCATCACTGCAAACATCTCACCGATGAAGAGCAAGGATTTTATTCCGACGGAGACGCGGTGCAGGTTTTTTCCATCGATACTCACCAGCAAGCCGGGAAAGCGTCACAGGTCGCATCTTGTAGGACGTCTCCACTCCACACAAGCAATCCTCCACCGTGCTTGAGTTTATTCTGTGTGGCAATAATCTCCTACGGTTATTTTACCCTACCGCTGAATCCGTATTTCTCCGGCCTGGCTCTCGGGGTGGCAATGGGTTTCTTGCTCGGACTCTTGCTGATTCGAATGGGCTCTTCCAGGTCCTTCTGTTCAGCTTTTCCAAGCAAACCGCTTCTGGGAGAGGGGATTTGGAAAGGTTGCTCCATTGAGCCTGACACCATCAAGGTAAAATCATTTTGCACGCCGTGGAATTCTCAAGTTGAAATTAGTCAGTTCAAGGATGCCGTTTGACCTCCGGGCATCTATTTTCTAGGGTTGGATGAATGAGATTCATGATTACGGCCCAGAGACGTATCACTCAGCACAGGCAAATTCCGTGTTTGCCACGCTGGAGGGATCCCGTCTCCGACTCGACACCCCCCAATCTAACATCAGCCGCAGGGCCGCATGCGACGAGAAAATCAACGAGTTCACTTTCACAAAGACGCGCACATACCAGCTGGAACAAAGCAAAGTAGGAGTACTATTTAAACGGTTTGTGCATAAAACAGAAGGTTAAACGTTTCCCTTTTTGTGTCTTTTATGAATCCCGAGAGGGACGCAAATACCTGTTATATTTTTTTTTAATATGAATGACTCCAAGAGCCATTTTACTCAAGCACCACAGATGGAATGCTAAATGATGCATCTGGGAATGACGGCGTTCAATCCAACAGATGTTGCGGGTGTTGCGTAATTCATCTCGGGCCAAAGAGTTTGGCTTGGAGAAAGACGAGCATGACCGTTTTTGAATACGTTAATGTTAGCATGACCTTCACATTTATTTGACATCCTTCCATTGACTGGGATATAGGACACAAACATGTTCAAAAACGGATGAAAGTAATAACCTCTAACCACTTGATGGCTAAATAAAATGTTTGTGTGTCCCTCAAAGGTATTCTTACTGCCATCTGTGTTGGCTCGTAAGCGACTATGGAACCCCAAATATCCAATCTGCATCCAGCTGGCCAGTGGAGTAAACTCCCAGGAGGAGGTTGGACGACGGTCGGAGGAGAGTCGGGAAGTGGAGGAGCAGCCAAAAACTGCACCCGCTAGCTCATTTCAACGTTTGCCAGAGTCCGCCCGTGACCCAGCCACAACTCTTTACCTCTTTGGGCGCACGGGGAGAGAAAAAGAGGAGTGGTTTCATCATTTCTTGCTAGCATCCACGGACACAGAGAGAGAAAAGGACCGGGACAAGCCAAGGTCTTCCAGATGTGCGCCTCGATCGGGTAGGAGAATTATAGATGATGCATTAGTGATGACAAGGCCTCTAGATAAGGCATCGATGTAGAGAATATATATATATATATATGTGTGTGTGGATTATGGATTACATGCTCCAGTTCTTTGCATGTCAAAGTTAATCCTATTTGTGAGAACATTACGGATCTCACACACAGACACCGGGAAACAACTGTAGTGTTTGTGTTATGTTGTCAGTGTCTCAAGAGTGCTTAACGTAGTTATAGAATACAGTTGTACATATCTAAAATGATTTTTTTTTTTTTTATTACCGGTAATACATGAAAAAACAAGAACAGATACAGTTTCATTAAGACAAGTGGAAAGAGAATTGCAATAGGCAAGACGTGAAGAGCCACAGACATGAAAGATAATTTCTAGTTCAGAATGAAATGACATGACAAGTTAATTTAGAAATGGAGGATGCGGTAGAATGCAAAAAGAATGAGCCCTAAGTCGGACTCTTGCGGAGCACCGCAAGAAAGTTCGACGAATAAATCATGTCTCCTCGTGTCACACCAGCCACTTCTGGAATGGTAAAATGATGTTTATCCTCCTGTGATGGTTTGAACTTCATCAGCATGAGCCAAATAATTCTTTTAGGTTGGAAAAAAAAAGAGATTATTATTGTCTGCTTTATTTTATTTTTACAGCAAAAATATCGCACACCTCCCTCCACTTCACTACACATGCCACAACCGCTATTTTTTTGCTAACTACATAATACGTCCATTTCCCTGCAGGTGACCCAGTACTGTCGCAGGCTATCAGCGGCCAAAGCGATAACCCGGCCAGCAGAGGCTCCAGCAGAGTGGGCAGCAGTGAAGACGACGGACCCTCCGTGCCTGCAGTTTCTCTCAGTCAGACCTCCTCCAGTAGCAGCACCGCCAGGGGCCTTTCACTGCTTGACTACCCCGGCTACATGTCTCGTCTTCTGGCTACAGAAGACTTGCTCCCGCTCTCCAGCCCTGGAGTCGGCAGTACACAGACAAGCCCCAGCCTCAAAGGAAACGTAAGTCATGCTGAAATTGAAGAGGAGCGCTCATGCGGGTCCCTTTGACATGCTTGCCGAGAGTCACTTGTAGATTTTCTACTTCCACAGTGCACCTGTGATCTGGTGGATGACTCTGGGACCAGTTCGACTTTATGGGTGAACGCTCTGATTGGGCGCATCTTTTGGGACTTCCTGAGAGAGAAGTCCTGGGCCGACGCGGTTTCCCACAAGATCCAGAAGAAGCTCAGCAAAATCAAAGTAATTTGGTGTCGTCTGAATGTACTGTTGTGGATGTTCTTTCATCTTCTTTTCATCTTCCTTGAGCGTACGATTAACAGATGTCAATGCTTGTGCAGTACAAAGACACATTTTAATTTCTGTCCTAAGTGATGTCTCTTTTGACAGTTGCCTTATTTTATGAATGAACTGACCCTGACTGAGCTGGATATGGGCTGTTCCATCCCAAAAATCATATCTACCTCCCGACCAGAAGTAAACCACAGAGGTGAGCATCGACACTGCAAAATAACACGTGCATCTAGGGTGTTGTGTAGGCCAAAAATAACATCTACCTCTCACACGCATGCACACACAGACAAAATAAAAACACTGTCAAACACAATACCTCCCACATTCACCCAAAAACTTTTTTGTGAGAGTTTGTTAGGTTGGTGTGAGTTTTATTGTTGAGACTGAGAGTTGTTTTGTGTGTGCCCAAGAAAGTTTGTCATACATGAGAAAATTTTTGCCTGAATTTTTTTTTTTCTGATGGGTGTGAGAATTTTTTTTACAATGCATGTGATTTTTTTTTCATGTGTTTAAGAGCTTGTTTTTTTTAGCACCCAACACTGACAAGGAGACGTGAAAATGTTTGGCTTCGAAATTTTGCTTGTTCTGCTGCCACGGTGCTACAAATTCAGCCCGTTATTTTTTGTTTTTTTTGGGGGGGGGTTCCACATATGCAGATGTGTTGCACCCACAGCATAATTCCTTGAAGTCTGTCGTGAGTATTCAAAGCTTTATAATCACAATGAAAGCTGTTTAGTGTGCCCAGATTCAGTTTGAGAGGGGATTTGTCTTACTCGGGGTGTTCTGGCGCTGACCCCTCTGTGCGACCCACTTTGCAGGCCTGTGGGTGGAGCTGCAGCTGGCCTACAATGGCACCCTACAGATGACCCTGCAGACCAAATTCAACTTGTCCAAACTGGGGAAAGACGGCGGCCAGGTCACCGATTGGTTGACTGAACCTGGAAACTCACAGTTAGTAATTACATTTTATGGACATACCTTATAGGCTGTGGTTACATTTCCTTTACTGCTTCATCTCACAAATATCCAAAGTCTTGAATCAGCACATCATGTTTTTGGATAAAAACCTTTACATGGGAAGGTCAAACGCTGGACCTCAGAACTGCGAGGCAGATGTGCTCACCACTCTTGCACCGTGTCGCTCGGATTAAATTCAATTTACGTAAATCTAAAGTGAACCCCAGTGTTGTCTGACTTGCGAAAAATCAGTTATTTTTCGTTATTCTGGTATAGTTTGTGCTAAAGAAATGGGAAAAAAAACGATTTTAGGGTTGGTTTTTTTTTGTTTTTTTGCTGGTGCGACATTGACTTGCGTCAACCACTCAATATAGCAGCAAGTGAGAAATCTCACCCCTCAGCTGTAAGCTGCACTGATATAGCACAAGGCACACTGTCACACAAGCTCCTTCGTGGATTAAAAGTCCAGCCTGAGTTCGACATCCTCCGCAGTCACCGAGGCCGTTTTAAGTCTCTCCCTGCAAACTAGACACTTCCACTTGTGCTTTTCAGCACTCCCGTCAAACAACTTCGCATATTCAGTCTTCAGTTAGGATAATTTAGTGTCTTTTTTTTTTTTATATATTTTTTCTTTTTATTGCCTTTCTAGCTGCAGACCCATTCTAAGTGTGCTGGCGGACAGTGACGAGGAGTCCTCCAGTGCCGGTTCATCTGATGAGGAAGAGTTTCTCCTGGCTGAGCCTCAGGGCCCCACTGGGGAAAAGGGCCCGTCATCAGCAACGGATGGGTACATGCAAATATGATCCACCAGGACAGAGTGCAACTGGAACATAAACTCGAGCAATTTCATTCACTGTTCAGAATCGCCTCTTTTTCTTTTGAGCAGGGCATTCAAAGTGCTAAATTTGGCCACACTAATACTTCCCTCCCCCTCTGTTAATCGTGTTTTACAGGACAGGGGGCGGGAGGACTGGAAGGAAGATTTTGAGATTTGTGGACAAAATCGCTAAATCCAAATATTTCCAGAAGGCAACGGAGAATGAGTTCATCAAGAAGAAGTTTGAAGAGATGTCAAACACGCCGCTGCTGCTCACAGTGGAGGTTCAAGAGCTGTCAGGGTCCCTGGTTGTCAATATTCCGCCGCCCCCTACTGACAGGATATGGTGAGGCATATGTGAAACTCGGAATCCAATGCATGTGTAGCGTTCGGGAAGAGGACGATGAAAAAGAGATTATCCTCCCCAGGATCCTATTCCAGCTGTAGGCGGGATACACCCTGAACTGGTAGCCAGCCAATCGCAGGGCACACATAGACGAACAACCATTTGCGCTCACAACTCACGCCCCAAGGGACAATTTAGAGTGTTCCATTAACCTGCCATGCATGTTTTTGGAATGTGGGAGGAAACCGGAGTACCCGTAGAAAACCCACGTGGGCACAGGGAGAACATGCAAACTCCACACGGGAAGGCCGGAGCCGGAATAGAACCCTGCACCATGCATGAAATGAATCTGTGGCTTGATTAAAACCACAGTTGTGCTTTTTTTTTTTTTTTT